AGTAGAATGGCATGCTCAGGAAGCATTAATGATAAGACGATTCCTCCTTTTCCAGCCTGCTGGATCTTAGATTAACGTATCCCGGCTAGGACTCACTGGTTCCCATCCTAACCTTCAGCAAACTTAGCTTTCCCTTGCACTCTTAGCTTCTTCACTCTATAGTGCAGGCCTGGCATTCCGCACACATGTGAAACTATAGGATCTGCCTTCATCTCTGCCATTCCTGGAAACACCTTTCATTGCTTCTCTTGACCAGTTATGTCCCACATCCATGCTTTGGAGGTGTAACCTACCTGTGTGTGGGATTAAACTCAGGGCCTTCACACTGAGCTACATTCCAGCCCTTTTTTTATTTCAAATTCTAAGATTAGGAGTCACTAAATTGCCCAGGCAGGGCTAGAATTTATGGTCTACCTGCCTCAGCCCAGAAGTGTGCTGAGAATAGAGGCATTAATTAGGGGCCCTGCTATGGTTGGATTAGGCTAGATTAGGGCCCCTCCTGTGGTTTCCCAGCACACTATATCCTGTCACCATTCTTCTATTACTCTTCATTTGTTGCTGTGTCTTCCCCATGATTAGTCTGAAGGATATTTAAATGATGTGATGAATTAAGCTTTGCCCACCAAATTAGTATATTAAATGTAGGTAATTATAAATGTGACATGCTTGTAGATAGAGTCTTTGCAGATATAATCAAGTTAAGACAAGGTCATACTTTAATAGGGCAGACTTAACCCAAAGTGATGGGTATACATAGAGGAAGAAAAGAAGCACGCCCACAGGCACATAAAGGGAGAAATCGTACGACACTCTCTCAGGAGGTGGCCTAGATATCTCCCAGAGAGAAGACTGACTGCCAATGCTGCAATCCAAGAGGTGCCAGGAATGGGGCATGCCAGAGTAAGGAACAAGTAAGATGTGATCCACCCTTGAAGATTTCATAGGTAGCATGGCCCTGCTGACACCTCAGTTTTGAATTTCTACTTTCTAAAGCTATGAGACACCATATCTCTCTTTTTTAAGCCACCAGTGTATGGCTCTCTCATAAATGCCCTAGAAAACTAATGCAGATGTACTTTAAATCCACAGCAGCTTGCACAGCACCTCCCAGGTGCAAATTTAAGTTGAGCAAAATTATACTGAGCTGAGCTGCAATGTAAGTTATTCATAAAAGTGGTATGAGTAGGCTCCATATAAGCCAGGCACAGTTGCACATGTGTATGATCCCAGCACTCCTCAAGGCTGAGTCAGGTAGTGCACAAGTTCCAACCCGATCTGGGCAACTTAGTGAGATTGTATCACAAAATTCAAAATCAAAAGGGCTGGTAATGTAACTCAGTGTGGTGGCCCTGAGTTTAAACCCCAGTACCACAAACAAACAAATATAGTATTGGATGGGATATGTATATTCCTGCAGAAATTTACTCTTTATCCTCTGTACCCACCACTTCATTCATTTCTGTGTCCCCAAACTGGGCTCCCTTGTTTCCCACCTACAACCACTAGTTGCTGTCTTCTCCATCTGTACATCTTCAGCTCATGACATCGATTTGCAAGTATCTACAGACTTCTATAGAAAAAATTTCACAGGTATTTTCCAAGAATTCACATGGTAAGAGCTGTGAGACTATCTGCCCTTGGATCCCTAGTGTAGAGGCACAGAACTTGCCCCAGGCTCTTAGCTGACTGCAGAAGGTGCAGAGAATCCAGGTATCCTGCCTCCCAGCACTATCTGCAGTCTTTGTGTTATTGAAACTGAAAGAAAAGACAAATAAACCCTGCTGATTTCATGTGCTACATTTGCTTATATTTGGCTTTAAAAATCTTCAATTTTGGAGGTCACATAGCTAAACAATATATTAACTCCCATTACATTTGCTATAGGTCACACATCAACTGTACAGCCCAAGATGTAATGGTTGTATAAGTTATTTTTCAGAATCTAGAGGCTGTTCTTGTCTAGCTCAAACTGGCTGAAGCTACTGACCTTCCCTTGAGTCTGTATAAGTATCTGATGGGTGGCACTGGAGGGCCAAACTCCATCATCAGATCATGCTAATGCAGTCATTTTTCTGACTATGGCTCAGATGAAGACCCTTGAAGTTGTCTATCATGCACAGACTATAGATTACTACACTATTCCTTGGATCTAAGCACCTTCCTATGCCTCGGACTGCCCCATTTCTTTATCCCATAAATACCCCTATTCTCTATCCTGGAGGAGGTGGATTTGAGAGGTACTCTCCTGAACCTACACTTGGCTGCTTCATCAATAAACTCTTTCCTTCACCAAAACTCATCTTTTCAGTGACTGGGAAAGTATATGGTGGGTGAAAAAGGCCTGCATCACTGACATTATTAGCCCGGCTGCCGCAGAGAAGTGCTAAGAACAGCAAGTTTGCATTTCAGAAACCAGAGGTGAGAGCATAAACACCTCCCTTCTTCCATTTCTTCTCCTCCTGCTTCATCACTGTCTTCGTCTCTCATGCTCTTTCCTCGAGCAGTTTATTGTACTTGTCATAGCGTCACAAGGCCCTCATGCTTAATAATATTGACAATTTAAAATGTCCTAATAGTAATATGATACTGGATTAGATTATTTGTGTATTAGAAAATTACTTGCCAACTAAATATGGTAAATGTTGATTCAGCCTACAAACAACTTTATTTTTATTTCAATGGCTATTTTAGGAAAAGTGAAACAGCAATCAAAAAACAATAACTGAGCCTATATATTTTGCAAGTGCATGTGACCAAAACAATCATAATCAGAAGAGATGTCCAGTTGTGCACATGAAGAATATCAACTCAGTGTACAACTTAGAGACTCTGGTGACATTCTTCAGATTGACACCATCAAAATCATGAACTTTAATTATAGATATATCTTCACCATTAGCCACTGTCAGACAAACAGTTAAATAGGAACCCCGAGATAAGCCTGTAATAAGGAGTAGCAAAGGCTACCGTGAAAACGAGACTTGTGAATCAATCCGATCTTCTACACGCATGTTTATACATTGCTTAGGAGAGTTGAAAAATTTTAAACTATTTTAATGTATGTATTTAAACTTTAATATATATTTTAATGTAAATAAGAAAAGACCACTCTTGGGCACTAAAATTTAAATACAATGTATGGGCATATTTATATATGTAAGACATACATTCATAGAATAATGTGCCTCTAATATTTTTTGCATTTTTCTTTTTCTTTAAATTTACTACAATTGACATTTATTATTTTGATAACAAAATGAAAACATTGTTTTAAACTAACTATATGCAATGCAAGGTGTCCAATTAATGTTCAGCGATATGAATTATTACTGAATCAGAAATTCTGTTTGCTTCCTGAGTCTTGACTAGTTGTTGCAGAACTTACTACTTTAAACAAGTCAAAAATTATTATATTCTCTTTTCTTATCTCTAAGATGGGGATGGAAAAATATATCTACCTCAGATTTTGTCATGAGAATTAAAATGGATAATGTCTGTAAATTTCCAATTTAGCTCTTAAAGATAGTCAGTGCTGAGGAACTGACGGTCATACCACTGCTCCCATGGTGCTACCTCACACCTGACACTCTCCTGACTCAATTCTTCTGTATCTGCAGTGCACCAAATACAATTTACATCAGAATCACTCAAAAAGTATAGGTAAAATGCATTTACTGACTTAGAATATCTGATCCTAGAAGGTCTACATTTTTAACAAGGATCCATATATTAATGATATTTTGAAAGTAAACAAGATGTACTGAGACACCTAGTCCATGACCATGGAAAGAAAACACAATTTCCATCCATGTTATGATGGTATGGAAAATTAGCTATCATATATCTATTTTGGGAGGGGTGAAATATGAAAGTAGATCCAACTCCAATAACAGGGCTTTTCTGCAGCAAAAGTCTGCCCTTTGTATTTAGATAAGCAAATAACTAAATGTCCTTAATTCTCACATCTGGCAACAGTTTGTTGTGTTTCTGCCTGTAGCATTGCATGGTGATGGCCCTGATTTTACTGCCTCCTGAATGATAATGACTATATCTTATTTCGCTGCATATCCTCGATGTCCATGACAGAGTCTGGGTGCAGAAATAGCTCCATAAATATAATTTCTCTCTTATAAAGAACCCTGGGGCATAGGACTCAATGAGCCTTAAGAAATTCGTACTTTTCTGCATCCTTGTGTGATGCACCTGACATGCCCAAAGACCAGGCTTGGAACAGACAAGCCAAATGTGTAGGTGTCTATCAGTGACACTCAGAGTGGTAGGAGTGCTCACATAGTGAATGTTTAAATAATTATTACATCAAGACTTGGCACTGTAGGATTCTATTTCAGAGTGCATTGGTGATCACATACCATTTCCAACCCCTTATAATAATTGCCTCTTTCTATTTCATAAACTTTAGAAAGTACAAACTACCATGAGATTGTCAGGAAAACAAAAAAGCTCCCTTTTTTGTTAGGCATCTGAGAGATAACTAGCCTGGCTAGCTGCTCAATACACATGACTGTGTTTAACATTCACAACTCCAGATTGGAAATCAACATTCCTATTGCACTGGTGAGCGACTGAAGCGCAGAGTGAATGGGGGACTCCCAGATACACAGTTTTCAGGGTCAGGCATGAGTGGAGCTTCCCTATTACCAAATCAGGGCATCCAACTGATTTTTAAGCTTTTTGTTTGTTTATTTTCCTGTTTTTCTTGTTTTTGAATGTTAAAAGAAAAAAGTGTCCTTGGCAAACTCTGCAATGAACACTTGATAATTAAATCTTGGTTCAATGAAACATGAAGAAAGCTATAAACAAATTTAGTTTTCTCGCTGTCTTTCTTGAAAATAAACTATCTGATATTTCTAGTCATTTAACCAAACATCACCTCACTAGAAGTCGGATCTTTAAATATTTATCCTCGCAGGTACCACTTTCAATGAATTGCTTTTACGAAGTGGCAAATGTAAGCACAAATGGAAATTCTGCACCCTTACCAGTGATATTGCAGTATACGCGCAGGGGTCCCAGGGGCCCACTGCCATCGGAGTCCACGTAGAAGAACCCAGCTCTGTTCCCTTGATGCCTGTAGACCTCACAGGATTGCTCGTAGATGGCTGAAAAGACAGAAAGGCAGCAGAGAGGAAAGTTTGCTGGACTCTGCGTATCGCTCTGGAGGGATCAGTATCTCCTAATTATATTATTTAACGTTTTCCCTGTGCCTTTACAAATCAATGTTCCAATACTTGATAGAGTCACATCTTCTCTTTAGCTGAACTCACTGATGCTTCTAAACTCAGCTGTAATGTTACACCCTTCCCCAGTCTCCCTGACCTTTTCCATGCTTCTCCTTTTTGCTGATTTACATGCCCTTCCTCTCTGCCCCACAAATACTCAGCTAGGATCACGAATGTGCTATCCTGTCTCTGTGGAAGCTGTAAGAATAATGGTCATGTGTTATTTTACACTGTATCCCAGCATCTAATGGAGCTCCACACTTACAGCATGGGCTCAACGATATTTGAGTAACAAATTTAAAAAGTAATATATATACAAAAATTTGCCTTCTTACTAATTAAGTGTAAGGACACTACCTTATTTCTGGGTGGATACTCAAGCTTGTCTTAGTAACTAACACAGAGCATAATCGAGTTCAATCTATTTTCATGTAACAAATACTTACTAATTGCCTAATTCATCTCAACAGATGTGGATAAGACAACAGAACCACGGACAAGCCAGTGAATCGGTGCCCTGACAGCTCACAGCCTTGGCAACAATCACAGAGGTCTCTGGGTGACCAGATAAGGCAGGTGCAGGTATCCTGAAATAGGGGGCTTTCACTGATCTGTGGTTTGGAGAAAGCTGTAATTTTCACTAAATCATCATAAATGAATCTGGAGGAGCACAAAGGACGCATCCGTTGTTTTATTCATAAAGAAAATAAAATACCTGGAATTTCTGAAAAATTTTCACAATTCAGAGCAGCAGGTATACATGCAACTGTATCACCCACCCATGCTTAACATGCTTCCCTGGCTCTTAAAATTCTTCAAGATACAGTACTTGATCCTCACCTTCCCCAACTCCTGCCTTTTATGACAAATACCCCATCCCAGGAATGTGACGGTGTGGTTTATCATGATCAAGTATGAGGCTGGGAACCTCAAATAATTCATTACAGTAAAGTTCTGAAGTCAGGGAGGGTTGACTTTTTATAAATTAAAGTGAATTCAAGGTTATACTTGAATTCCTGGCAATTTCTCTCATTCCTGGACACTTCCTAAAGGAGGAGGTAAATGAATGTGTCACCATTTGTAGCTTATATATTGAGCTTAACATACACCTGATTTGTGTTTGCTGATATCAGGTTTGCTGAATATAATAACACACTTGTGACACAGGTGAAGGTCAACTCTTACCTGTGTGGTCCTTCCCAATTCCTCCTACAGTGACAACCACCCCGAAGGAGCTACTCTTGTCCTATAAACAGTAAACACTGCCCAGGCGAGCCTGTGGGAAGTTGCATAGTGGTTGAGAGTACAATCTTTACAATCAAACTGGGTAGTTTTGCAGGGTGGAGCTACCACTTATGACGTAGGGAAGCCTGGATAGGCTGCTTCCCCTGAGTTGGACACTCTCTTAGATGACTGTTATGAAGGACACTTCCTGGTATTCATGTTCTATTCATAGAGCCATGCTTTCCTCCTAAGTGAGCCGGGCTTATTCATTGCTCTAACATATAAACTGTGCAGCCAGGATAGATGTAATTTCCAATATTAGACTATAGAAAGACATGGGTGCTATCTCGCTCCTGCATCACTTCCCTTGGTAAAATTCAACAGCCACCCTAGACAGTGCTAATAGACCCATGTGGGCGAGCTTGGAAGCTACTGCAGTGTGACAGGAGTACAAGCAAAGGAAGATGCCCACAGGCAGGGCTGGAAATGACTGCAAGCAGACCAACCTCTATCTGCACTGCAGGAGAGAACAGCCCCACTAAAATGGTGCAGATCCAGAGAAGCTATGAAATGATGGGTATGCTTTCTACATGCTAAGTTTTGCAATAATCCACTGTAATAAATAGCTAATCACCTCTCAAAGCATTAAATTTCTCACCATGCTATTGATCTAAAAAGAACTACATCACACTGTACTTATAAAGCATCATGGTGATAACCTACTCATGGGACTTAAAAGTCACTTGGTAAATATGAACTATTATTACAATTATGCCATAGATCCATGCCATGCTATCTTTTCTTCTTCTTTTTTATTTTAAAGAGAAAAAACAATAACAAAGTAATGACAACAGAGACAAAAGAACACAAAAACAATAAAAACAATACAGAATTTCAAAACAAGACGATAGGAAATTAACAATGGTTGTTATATTACTTATTGTTGTCTTCAACAAAGTTACTCAGATTACCAGATATAAGAATGCAAGACTGTGATTTGCGATGAAAAGTGAAAAAAATCAAGTAAATCAAGTAAAGATGTAAAGAAGAAAAGGTTTGTTATGAAAATCAAGTAACTCCTACCTGCTTTCTCATAGTGATGATAACTTTGAAATTTTAGTTTATTATTTTGGAAATGACACTCTAAATAGTGTATCTATATAGTTATGTCTTAAAATTTTCATTTTAACTCATTGTGTGTTTTTTTTTTTTTTTCAGGTACTGGAAATCAAACTCACGACCTTGCGCTTGCCAGGCAGGCACTTTGCCACTGACCTAAATCCCCAGCTCCCCTCTCATCTGTCTCTAAACAGGCAAAACTGCATGAAGTTTCACTAATTCAACGCTAAATTCACTAACAAAGATCTCAACTGTCTCCTCAAATAATCATATTAAAATTAACCATAAATGAATACTTTTTGGGGTGAGAGAGAGAGAAAGAATGTGTACCTAAGGGAAAAGATAAAATTTAGAATTTTCTGAAAGTATTTTATTTTTAAGTTTGAAATCATGCAAACATTTTAGTGTTAAAAGTAAAATTATATGTAACAAAAAAAGTAATGCCAAATATTAAGAGGAAATGAAAAACATTAACTAGGAATTATTTCTATTGATATTGAGATTTCAGCATTTTAATAACTTTTTTGTCAGATCTACATTCTCAGGGTTTCAGCTAAGGGTTAGTTCAACAAAATAAAAGACATACACAAAATAAGCCACTCCAATTTTGATTTTAAAAAAACCTATCCATGACTATTCTGGATGTCAGCAACTTAGGCTGAGCTCAGCTGGGCAGTTTTTGGCCTAGTTCAGAGCACTTGCGAGGTCCGCTCCAGCATGTGCAGGCAGCAGCTGGCTCAGCAGGACTCCCTGGCAACAGAGTAGGTGGTTTGTTTTCAGCATGTGGTCGTGCACACTCCATCAGACGTACATGGTAAAGATCCCAGAGCAGCCAGTGGGCAACTGCTCAGCTTCTGACTGCATCAGGCTTGAGGGTGCTCCACTGACCAAAGCAAGTCATTGAGCCAGTCTCAGAACCCAAAGGGTTCAATGGAACAGAGCTCCAGAGAGGCATGGATAGTGTCAAAGTTTGGGTTCATGCAGCAGAATTACACTGTAAGGTGATCTGAATCTAAAGGAAACCTCTTTTTCATAAGCCATTGAGATTCTGGTGTCATTTATTTCTTTAGTTAGCCTACTGTTCAAAATACACTTGTTCCTTAAACTGGCTCAGTTAACAGGACAGCCATATGGACTAAGCCTGGTGATAAGCATTACTACTCAGAAACACAGGGAATGAGTTCATATATATATATATATATATATAGATAGACAGAGACAGAGAGAGACAGAGAGACAGAGAGAGACAGAGAGATACACACACACATGCATATAGATATATATCATATATATTTAATATGTTGTCCAAAAACAAAGTAGCTGGTAAGAAGTTACTCTGGTTCCATAACTGCTATAGTCTGGATCTTGAATCATCCCCCAAAGCCCCACATGTTAAAGGTTTTATCCTCAAGACAGCACTGTTGGGAAGTGAGGGAAACTTTGAGAGGGAGGCAGAGTGAAAGGCTTCGGGTTCTTGGAGGGGAACCTTTCAAGTGGACTGGGGAGCTCCAGTGCCATCGTCTTTCTCTTTCTTTCCAGCCATAGGGTAAGCTGCTTTGTTTGACACTGTGTGCCTGCATGCTGTGCTCTCTTGACACAGGCCCAAACAAAGAAGCCCATTGACCATGGACTGACACTTCCAAAAATGTAAAGCAAAATTTAAAAGTTAATAGTCTCAGCTTAGGTGTTATAATGACAGAAAGCTTACTAGCAGGCTCTCTTTCCTCTTTTTGGCAGTAGGAATATTTTATAAATCTGAAGTATCACTTATCTATGATTTGATTGCCCTAAACTATAAGATTACACGGGAAAAACAAAACAGTGTCTAGTATTCTGTAAATATGACCAATTATAATATTTTACTATCATCATGAACTTACAGGTTTAAAACATACCTAATATATTATATGGTTGTTTGACAAACAAGAAAAAGTAAGCTGTACACTAACAGGAAAACAACTAAAATAAATAAGATGACAGAAATCTTAAAATGCATTGAATAGCTTTATTTTTTAAAATATTTTATTGTTTAACTGTTACAGATAACAAGAAAAAGCTAATGATTATGTTACTGTCAACAAAAATAATTTTTACCATAAAAGATAAAGTATATAAAGTTCAAAAATTACATTAAGTTCATCAGTCTTATTCTAAGTGTAAATTATCAGTATAAACTCATTATTTCATTGTTTTAAATGATGTGATATCTTTCACATTTGGGTTAACGAAAGTTCCAGAACCCATTGGCTACACAGTGGCTTTTAAATATATCAGGGGACAAGTGCTTTATTGAGTCTGTGTCTGAGAAGGAAAATGCGAGAATGAGATTGGAATACATTGTCTTACCTGAAAACCAGAAAATTTACCAAAAATTGGAACCATGTAAAAATGACACAGCAACCAACTTGATATAACAATTAAGGCTTTAAAAAGGACAGTCCTTTCAATTATTAAATGTGTGCATTTGCTCCTATCTCTCATCTATCTATCAGCTACTCAGCTATTTCATCTCACTTCCTCTCTCTATCTCATATCTC